GGACTTTCTGTAATGTTATTACATTACATGTTTTGTCTATTGCTGTCCATCAGACTACAGACGCGTAAGTTAGAATTGGCCTAATAACGCTCTTGTAGATCCAGTGTACCATCTTTGGGTTGAAACCCCATTTAGAGCCCACGGCTCTTCTACAGAAAGACCAGCATCTATGGGCCTTTTCGACCCGTTGATGTATGTGGTCTTTCCATCTAAGTTTTCTATCTAGGATGACACCTAGATATTTGACTTTATTTGACATTGCTATCACTTTGTTTTGTCCTATTTTTGTCTTTCTAGTGAAGAGACATATTTCCGTTTTGTCCGGATTTACGTCTAGACCCCTCGGCTTCACCCAATTAAAGGCGATGTTTAACGCCGTTTCAGCCTTCCTGCATAGTAAGTTAGGGTTCCTTCCCCTTAGAAGTATTATAACGTCGTCTGCATAACAGACTGGTTCAAAACCATCTTCGGTTAAGTTCCTTAAGAGACTACTGATAGTGGTGACCCACAGGAGTGGTGACAGTATCCCTCCTTGCGGTGTCCCTTGTCCTACTTTGTCCCTGATAGTTATGTCTTGTAGGCTACAGTTTATCCATCTATTCCTTAGCATATGGTTGACCCAGTCTATAATTGCCTGGTCAACACTAAAGGCTTCTAAGGATTGGATAAGTGTTTCGGTGCTGACATTATTAAAGGCTCCTTCGATGTCAATGCAGACTGCTAAAGTGTACATTTTCTTATCGAAAGTTCCTTCGATGTGGTGTACTACCTCATGTAGAGCGGTTTCCACTGATCTCCCCTTTACGTACGCATGTTGTTTATATTTCAGCGTGTCATTGGGGATGCTGCTCTTTATCATGGTGTCGATTGTTCGTTCCATGGTTTTGAGTAGAAATGAAGTAAGGCTAATTGGCCTATAGGCTTTTGGTGTTGCGTAGTTTGCCTTGCCGAGCTTTTGGTGTGTACGCAAACATTATACATGCATTAAAGAGTGCCGCTAAATATGGTGATATATAGTCGACCTTTTTTTGTAAAAGAGCAGGGAAGACGTTGTCTGGCCCTTCCGCTTTATGTGGTGAGAAGCTCTTTATAGCATCTCGTACCATTGATTCATCAATCTTAGGTTCCACAGATCTTGTTTCCCTTGCTACCGTAGCGTCATCACTTATGGATGGGTTCGGTGGGAAGTGAGCGTTCATCAGAAGCCTTATTGTTTCTTCAGTTGTTTCTATCCTGTTGCCCTCACTGTCTACCATCGTTTCGGCTTGAGTGTGGGTTTTTGACAGAAACTGTTTTATTTTTGAGACGTCTTTTACGCTATCGACCTGTTCACAGAAGGTTTTCCAGGAGTTGCGTTTGGCGGTTCTTGTCATTTTGTTGTATTCTTTCTGCTTATCGTGGAAGTTGTCCCAGTATACTGTAGATTTCTTGCGGCGTGCTCTATTGTAAAGTTTTCGGACCTCTTTCCCTTTATTTCGAATCTCCCCGGTCATCCAGGGTTTTTCGAAGGCAGATTTCCTTTCTCGAAGAGGACAACTTTCTTCGAAAGACTTTACTATTGCTTCCGCTAAGTTATTGACATTTTTGTCTATATCGTCAGTGCTTAGGCTGTCATAGTTATGTTGCCCTAGCCAGATATAGTTCCCATATATATTTTCGTCCGATTTAATGTAAATGGTGCACCAAAAACCCTATATATCTTTCAATTTGCACGAAATTTGGCATGACATACTGAATTAAGTCTAGAATGAAGTGTGTTAAGTTTCATGAAAATCGGATCAGATTTTTATAGCTCCCATATATATTTTCGTCCGATTTAATGTAAATGGTGTATTAAAATCCATATATATCTTTTGTTTTGCACGAAATTTGGCATAGCGTACTGAATTAGGTCTAGAATGATATATCTTAGATTTTGTGAAAATCGGTTCAGATTTAAATATAGCGACTGGAAAAACATAGCAAATTTTTCGTGGCGTTACAATTTTTTGAGGCCACACAACAAGTTCTGTAAGGATAATAACATGCAATTCGGGTTTTAAATGTGCTCACGATCTGTTCAAAACTTTTATAATCTACATCATGAGTTGGATCTTTGTATAGAGGCCATATCGAAACACGGACCCAGGAGGATTCTTATCTTGTTAAACACGCTATCTATTTTGCTTTTATCATCTCAATCGTAACAAAAAGCTTTCCTTTTATCCGTGTCTTCAGTTTTGGGAAGAGCAAAGAGGCAGCGAAGTCCATGTCCGGTGTATTCGGTATTCACGCACAAGCATAATTGTGTGGGTTGGTGTGTATCGTGATGCAAAATATATGATTGATTTTCCACAAATATGAGAGGTAGTATTTCTTATTGACGAATTTGTGACAAGAAATCAAGATGCACCACGACATTGAAGTCGATGAAATCTTTTACATTTAATCCAACTGGACGTGCCTATTCTGGATATCTTGTCGACCTTGCTTAAACGGTCATATTTTGATAATTTGTATTTATATCGAACTTATTGCGAAATTGCATCTGGGAAGTAAATTTCAACGTATCAAGATTCGATCTTTGTCATCACATCAGAACAGATTTTTCTTGTAGTGACTTTTATTCCATACAACCTTCAGTAGTTACTTCCTTGCTATACAAATGTTTTCAAGCAAAGTTCGGAAGTTAAGTAGATAAATGTAAACGCTAAGCTGTCAAACGACATTTGAGATTGCCTAGGAACTAGCGTTCAATTGAGAATAGTACCTAAATAAGAAAAGTGTCTGTTGGGATTGCCGAATGGTTTAATATTTTTATTGCGATGTATCAACGTGGACGAGGTATGGACAGATGACAGCTCATTTCAAGTAGAATACACCTTTTTCAAATGTTAATCAAAACATTTCAATTGCAATTCGAGAATTTCATTTGTAATTCGAAAACTCAATTTGCACTTCATAACATTTCACTTGTAATTCGAGTATGTAATTTGAAATTCACAACGTTTCATTAGTAATTTTAAACTTTTCGTATGAAATTCAAAAAATTCCATTTGAAATTTATAAAATTTCATTTGTAATTCGAATATTTTCATTTGAATTTCGTAGAGTTTCATTTGAAATTCAAAGAAATCCATTTGATATTCAAAGAATCCAATTTAAAATTCATAATATTTCACTTGTAATTCATACAATTTCAGTTGTAATTTATAACAATTCATTTCAAATTCATACATATTCCTTGTGTGTTACCAATAATATTTTTCGAATTTAAAATTTAATGTTATGAAAAACAAATGAAGTGTTATGTATTTCAAATGAAATTTTAAGAATTTCAAATGGAATTATTTAAATTTCAAATGGAATTTTATTAATTTCAAGTGGAATTTTATACATTTCAGATGCAATACTTAGAATTTCAAATGGAAGTTTATTAATTTCAAATGAATTCTATGAATTTCGAAAGGTATTCTATGAATTACAAATGAAGTTCTCGAATTTCTACCGATATGTTATCAGCTACAAATGGAATTCTCGAATTACAAATTGTTTGTTGTGGATTACAAATGGAATTCTCGAATTACATTTCATATCTTTTGAAGAACATGTAAAAAAGGTGTAGTAATAACTACCTTGGCCAATATTAAACACCATAACACGATAGGTTATAAACACATTAACATGATAGGTATTTACCGAATTTGGAAGACCCATATCTCAGGAAGTATAGACTTTTTTAATTTAAACCCACATCGCATTTGAGAACTTTAAAGGGCTCTCCGCGGATATTTTAAGTATCACATCTCAGGAAATATGGACTTCTTCCATAAAAAGTTACATTTTTGTAATCAAAACTTCAACTGTTTTAAGTTTAAATTAATTGAAAAAAACATGAGAAATACAAGGACCCTGGCGAACTTTGAACCATATACAGTGATGGTCACGTAATTAAAACATTTTCTATGGCAAAATTGGCAACCATTTGTACAGTACACCTACATTCGGAAAATCACACTTAATATAGGAAATAAAAGTCCGGACTAAGTACTAGAATTAGTAGAAAACAATAAATTCTTCTTATAATAAATAAATATTTGAAATAAAAACTTAAAAAATTGGAATAAACCTAAAGAAACGATTCGGTTTCGATAGCCTTGATTGAAGAAGGTCGGCATATGTTTGCAGTATGTGAGGAAATTTCGATTAATATTGACATTTATAATATCAAATCGATTGTTCGAGTAGTACAGAATATATTTTATCAAACAATAGACCAGTCACACTAGCGTGAGTGACAGCTCTTTTGTGGCTAAACTCCTAAAGATCTACAAAAAAGTATTAAGGATAATTAAAAAAATGTAATTGTTTTTGATTTATTTAACATTTAAAGTTTGAATTTGCCTCTGAAAGTCATGTGACTGCAGAAGTGTCCATATTGTAAACATTCCAAAACGATCCGCGACCCGGTCTTTACATGGACTTCAGCCGACTGTTTAATGTAAAATAACGAATAAGAACGTCGTTCAAATACAAATTTAACTTTGACATTCCTTTATAAATTGAAATTTCGTCCAATGTATACCTGACATCTTCGTATGTTTCAGCCATTCACTTTATATTTGTTCTCTTTAAAAAATTGTATATTCATAACCCTACAAAATGCCTTTGGTTTAAACTATCTTTAATACCATTCAATATAATTTATTATTACTTATATTTATAGATTAAATCATAAAGCGGCAACACTGTTTGGCATACATACACACATACCAAGCACCTACATGTGACTCCCAGAAAAAAAAAAGAAAACAAAAACAACAATCATAATGTTGAACAACCATTAAAAAACCCAGAGAAATCAATCATTTGTTTTGGTCATGCTTTACGAAGAGACAAGTGTAAGGCAGCAGCAACAACAACAACACGTACAATAGCAACAACAAAATAATAACTGGGCAAACATAGTTGTTGTAATAGAATCCCATGCAGTAGCATAACAACACAACATTGTCGACATTATGGAGTTGCGAGAGTGGGATAATATAATGTGAGTGTTTGTGAGAAAGAGAGAGATAGATATCAATTTGGGGTGTGTTTTTTTGTGAGTTAGAGAAGTCGAAATTGCAATTGGACAGTTGTGTGTGTGCTAGAAAAAGAAAACAATATTCGATTGTGTAGAATGCCAAGTAAAACCGATTACTTGGTAACCATTTGTAAGGATTTTTAATGGGGAGTTTTGTGAAATGTATTTGTCTCTTTTGTTCCTGCATAAAGGAGCAATAAAAGAAATAAAAGCTAATACCAACCATGCTTGTGTATGCAAGGGATGCTAAGGATGTTAACATCCTCCACCTTCCTGTCCTGCCGTACACACAAAAAACGCCTAACTAAATGAAATGATGATGATAACCATAAGCAAATCCGGTCGTACTTTTACCAACCCCACCACTACCACACATTAGTCAAAAACCGTTAACCGTCGCTGTTGACGTCAGCGTCTCTCTGCCAACGTCAACGCTTTCGTTGAGACATTTAGGTTTTCATGATCCTTAATTTCGTTATGATTTATATCAATGCTCTCCACACTTGGCCTGCATATCATTTCAAATCAGAACGCGAACACGCGTGTTAATACACCGACAACGACATAAACTCACGTTTTGAAAATATTTATTGTGAATTTCATTTTTGATTTTGTTGCGAAAGAAAAAATTCGAAAATTAATTAAATTATTTAAGACGACTCTAAGCAGAGCATTTTAAATTTTGAAAGTTATGACCAGTTGAAAAGAGTTTAACCCAGTATTGTTTGAAGAATACAGTTTGTTGTTGGATTCTGTTAGGAATCCTGACGCCGACGTTGACGTACTCGTGTATCCAATTTTCTTTTTTTTCTCCGCAAAGCACACGTTGTCGTTGCCATCGTTTGGGCCACGTCCGAAGTTGGCATATGTTGAACTTTGTATAGCTCTGTGTATTCGCGTATGTATGTGTGTGTACGCGCGTGTTTTTGTAACTTTCTGTGTATATGTCGGTCTGTCGGCAAGTGTGTGTGTGGCTTGGTACTATTCCGAATATTCCTTTGCCGCAGTCTATCATCATTAGTTGACGCTGGATCGAGTTAAATGAAAAACGCAAATTTCATTATTCGCCAAACAGTCGTCGGTGTCATCGTATTTATTACTATTATTATTGTTGTTGGAGTTTTCCTTTATTAAAATTAACTCACAAGCCAAAGTTAAGTCAAGTCAAGCAGCTATCCAGCCAACCAGCCAGCCAAGTAGTCTCACTTTTCTATACACCTTTGAAATCGGATTTTGTTTTCTTTTTCCTGTGGACCGACTCATCATCATTCATAGGCACGCGTCGCAACAAATTTCCTAACGATTTTAGACAAAACCAAAAAAATCAGGGTCCCAAAAGTTGGTCGGTCGTTCGGTTGATACGACGTGCATTGAACGGAAATCTAATTTTCAAATATTCTATTGTAAACATTAGAAAGTACCGTTAATTAAACATAAACGAAGGCAAACAAACCGGATGTAAACATTGAATAGTGTTGGAATTTGTAAACTAATTTAAAGAAGAATAAAAGAAAAGTGAAAATAAAAAAAAACACAAAACATAAAGAAGAATTACTCAAAGTGTAAAAAACAAGTATTAGAAAACAACATTTAACCTCACTTTTTGCCAACTAATAAAAAAACAAAGAGAAAAATAAACAGCACTACAACGAAACCTCCCACACCGCTGCACCTAACCTCAACTATTAACGATCTGAACGCGGAAAGTGTTAAATTCTTCCCATTGGATTATCCTGGTGATTTCTTCAAAACGTATATCGATTCGAGATTCTACGCCGGCCACAAATTGGATTTCAAACAACAAAATTGTGCCGGCGGCCCGGGTTCTGGTGGTGGAGTCGTCGGCAATAACAACAATAGCCATCCAACAGCGGCGGCCTCGGCTCATTTGTCCGCCTCGGCGTCGGCACCGTTACACGGTTTAGCGGCTCACACGGCGGGCCATCAATCGCATCATTCCCTGCTAAATTCACATCACGCACTACAGCAACACCAGCAGCAGCAACAACAACAGCAGCAGCAACATCAAACAACACCATCACCTTCCATACAATCGCAACAACAACATCAACAGCAGCAGCAACAACAACAACAATTGCATTCCAGTAACTCTGCACCCAATAATCCAACATCTTTAGGTCCCCTAAATTCCTCGTCCATTAACACCAACGGTAATCCATCCGGAACCGGTACTAGTTCACCATCAACGGCCGGTATTCACCCTACTCAGGATACCCATTCCTCGTCATCGGTACCGCCCGTTGCTACCTCGCTCAGTGCTCCCTCCCTACCCCATATAGCACCCACTTCACTTGGTCTCAGTCCCCAATCCTCAGCGGATTCTCAACAATTTAACATCTTTCCTGCCATTTTTAGTCGCCAGCTGAACTTTTCCGCGGCGGCTGGGGGTTGTGGTCAAAGTAAACTAACCATGGATGAACTGCGGCCGAATCTAGTTGGTGGCCTTTTGGGCCTACAGCAGGGTCTACTCGAGGATCATGCCGCCAGTATGCAGCACGCTGGCTCTGTACCCCAAGACACCAAGTTTATGTCATTTCAAGATAATCGCCTCATGGGCATTGGTTCCTCACACGAAAATCGCCTTTTGGGACTTAGCTCGTCGGTGCAAGACAGTCGCTCACCTGCCGCCATCACCTCCATGGACAAAAATCCGCTCAATCATCAGCGAAAATGCAGCAGCACACCCGAGGATTTTAGTTCATTGTATTCGGGATTACCCACACCTGGTATTGATTCGTCGTCGCATCATCACACACCCGCTCATACGCCGCCAACGAGGCTATCGGATCATACGATATCTGGTAATTATGCTTATTCATCATTTATTTTTGTCTTTTTTTCGTATTGTTCCATTAATACTTTCATTTGTCGAAGAAATTTGTCAAAATGACCATCATCGTCATTTCCATCGGGAAGAGCAGCTTCTGTTTTTGCTTCCCTAAAATCGATAATCCGTTCAGGGGTTTAATGTCAATAGTTGTCATTCATTGTGGTTAACACTTTATGCCAAAGACCATATGTACATCCATTCATCCATTCATCCATTCATCTATCCATCCATCCATCCCTCCATTCATTCATTCCTTGTCTGAAGTGAGAAGCGTGCGTCTGTTTGTTTATCCTTAATAAAGTGGGCACACGCTTCACCCGGATTATGGCGAGTGCCAATATTTAGATGACTTCTTTTGTTGTTGTTGATCATTTGTGTCGATTGTGTGTTGACATTTGACACTTAATTGTTTTGACGCCAACAACATAGGAAAAAAGGTGTTAAATGTTTGTTTGCCAACTGTTCCGGGGCATGAAACCCAAATAGTAAATGCTGGGTTATTCCATGGTTGACAATTAATTTTGCAGTTTTTTTTAATGTGGGGGTTTTTAGGCTTGTGGCCCATTATAATATTTCTCTGGATAATATCAACGTAAACCCGATTACAGTAGTTAAGTAGTTTGGAGAAACAAATTTCTTGACAGTTGCTTTATATCAATGAAATGATGCTCGGAATGGGTATATAAGAAGTCAGGATAAATTTTCACTATGGCTTTGATAAAATCAGATAGATCGATTATAGCTTGCATTCTTACAACATTTGACTCTATTATCAAGTTTCATTTGATCTGATAATAAAAATTATGGTTCCCAACCTCCATCAGTGTTACATCTCAAAGAGAAAGTACAATACTCTTCCCAATCTGTGCACATATAATTTTATTCACTATTTCGGATACCTCTATCTGCAAATTGTCAAAGTTATTAAATCGAAGAAAATATTCGTGTTGATTCACACTTTATAATTTTATAACAGCTTGACATAAAATTCGACGCGCCTTACAAACATAAGTCCTCTATAATAGGAAAATGTAAAATGCGTAAATCATATTCATATTTTTTATTAACTATTACATATTTTGTTCTTTTTTTATAAATTTCCAAAATTAAATTAAAAATTCAACTTCCCCCTTGTAAGTTCGGTGTATTTCGGAAACATCCCCAAGAAAACATTAGTTATACTTGTGTAATGAAAAATTATTGTTCGAAAATCTCTTTGGAAAATTTAAAATGAAAATGATTGAAAAATTAAATTAAAAAAATTAAACTTCATAATTCTCAATTATGCAAAGGAAATGTGTTTTCGTGCCCACTCCTGTTTAAAATCATCATTTTCCCATACCAATATTGCACATATAATGCTCACATAATTTGGGATTTTAAATATTAGACACACGCTTAGAATCCATGACCTGGTCTTTATGTTGTGAATTTTAGATGTGTTTCAGGAAGACATTAGATTTGGCGGTGACCGCATTGTACATTCTTGCAGGTTCTGGAACAGGCATTTTATCTACACATAAATTCGTTTGCAGTATCGATAATGTTATTCGGTAAAAATTTAGACAATTTTTCTATAAACTTTCGAATAACTTTTTATTAAAATTTAAAAAAAAATAAAAATATTTGTCGATAACTCGGGTTTTACACATGCAACATTTGTAAGCAACTCTACTGAGTTCTTAGGAGAGAGATGTTAGAAAAGTGACAAGGGAGAAGAAATTTAAAGAAGAATTGAAAAGAGCAGCAGCAGAGTTTAAAAGAGTTGCATGTGTAAACCCCGAAGTTTACTTCTTTCAAAGGGGACAACTTTCTTCGAAAGATTTCCGAAATACCAATAAAAATCTCGTTTCTGTAAAATTTGAAACGAATGAATTACTATCACACTTTTGTACATATCGACGCCTCCGAACCATAGTATGCTAAGTCGACTTAGCATGTTTTAAAGTGCTTTACGTTTTTAGATACTACGGTCCTTAATTTAATTTCACTGAAATTTTAGTAATCATCGGCCAATCCAAAGCAAAGTTATAAGCAAAAATGTACTTAGCATGGCACGTACGATTAAAGAAACTTCCATACTTTGAAAGCTTCTACTGAAAAACTCACTTTTCAGGCTTAGCATATCGGACGCGTCGATATATAGAAATCTTATTAAATTCGAAACACAAATAAATTACATATATTTTGAAAATCCGTGGCATAATTATACAAGGTATTCTCATTTGAGAATTTTATAATGGCAACCCTTTTTAATTTCAATTTTTTTTGAAAAATAAATTCCATAAAATTTTGTGTATGTCGTTTGGCATATTTTCCACAAAATAATTTATATTTTCTAAAGCTGCATATTGTTCTCCAGATGTACAATTTGGGTTTTACAACTTGTATTTTTAGGTTTGAAAAATATATTAATAAACATATGAAAATATTAGTAAACATAAATAATTTTGCTATTTTGTACCACTAAACACATGCTATCCGTACACTTCGAAAGAAGGGGTTTTCATTTAAATTTTGAAAACTGAATGTTGTCAATAGTAAATTTATGAAAAAAATGGAAACGTATGACTGCATGAGACTACCTCCTAATATGAAATACAATTTTGAAGTAATTTTAGTAAATTAGTTATTTACTTAAATGGCGCCCAACATATGCGTTATAATATTTTTGGCATGATAAATACTTTATTTTAATATCGAGTGTGGAAGAACTCGGCTAGTGTTAGTCGAAATTCCCTTTATAGTTCTAATGTCATTTATTTATACTTTTTTGATGTAGAAAATTCAATTTGAAAAAATATGTTATTATTAGCAGTTTTTTAATAAAAAGGACATTAAACGACATGTACATTAGAAATTTTTACAGGGTTAACCAAGTTTATGAGGATTTATTTGGTAGAAATTTAATTTAATTACTTCGTTCCGAATTTAACATAAATAGGTGGCAAACTGGCCGATTTATTGTTTTAGCATCAAACGACGTCAAGAGTGATTCTTAAACTTTTAACGCGGTTTTCTTGAAACAGTGTTTTTACGAATGGCAGCACGATAACTCAACAACTAATAATCCAAACCGATCTAAAATTTGCAAGATCTTCCTTCTAAAAATAGAGGATTTTCCACAAATCGAATTTCATTTGTCCGCCAATTTGTTAAGTTTTTGTACTAAGTTTAAAATTCCTGTTCATACCGGAGCCAGGGATGTACTCTTTCGAAACACATAGGATTTTTGAATTCTGATTTTTTAGTGGTCGTAAATCAGGCCCGCCGTCGAAAAGCAGGACTTTTGATTAACTGCAAATCAACTACCATACAATCAAAAAAATTTCGCCAATTAATTTTCTTAATTTTTAAGACTTTAAATACATACACTGGTGCCAAAACTAAAGCAACTTAAATTGCAAACTGAATAAATGGCCAATTTTTAAGTGATTATTTATACTCTTTCGAGTCGAGCTTAATGATCTAAGTTTTGCAATGAAAAGGAAATGACCTGTAACTTTTTTGAAAATGAAGTTATAGTGAAAGTTTTTTTCAGTAATAAATAGGAAATATTCTATGGAAAACTAAATTTACCCAATTTTTGCTTGGTCGTTGGTAATCGATAGCATAACCATTATTTTGCATTACGCACACATACACACATACAGTAAAAAACATTTTCAACCCAGTAAGGAAAGTAGTTAAGTCGGACTGGGCTACTATATGATACCCTTCACCACTTCGGGTATATTGCGCATATGTATCCTTACAATTGCATGTTAATGTACCCTCAAAGGAACATACGCATATCTTTCTGCAGCCTATGATAAATTTAATTTCATTCGGGCAGATTTAGAGTCGTCTGCGTACCATGGGACAAATTTCTGGAAAACATTTTGTAGCAAAATTGATACACGCTATTCGGTAAGCCGCACTGTTAAAAATTTAATTTCAATCAGACACCTGTTCGAAATACAAGCTATGGCTGGATCTGCAACAATTTCAACGAAACCCAATAACGTCATTCAAGTTTCAATTTGATACATTGTTCAAAATTTCGTTTTACTCGGTCAAACATTAGGAGTTTGGAGCGCCATTTATGTAAAACCGGATGAATATATACAAATATGTGGGAGCTATATAGAAATCGGAACCGATCCTAAACTTACCACAAATCATTCTTGACCCAATTCCTTACTCTGTGTAAATTTTGTGCAAATCGAAGGATATATAGGGACTTTGGTGCACTATTTACGTGAAATCGGACGAATATATATATATGGGAGCTATATCTAAATCTGAACTGATTTTCACAAAACTTAATACACACCTCACGGTAAATAGTGCACGGCCTTTGTGACTGCAATTTGGCTATTCGGGTTCCTAGAGGTTTAAATAGACCCTTCCATGGTTTGGCATAGCTCCAATGTAAAGGTCACGCTTCATTTTCGTTATTTTGAAAGTTTTAGCCGAATATTCCCAAAGAAGAATCTGTAATTTGGTATTCAGGGCTTGGGCGTTGTTACTTCTTCTTAAAAAATGTTCAATACAGGTAAATTTGTTTAGTAGTCCCCAAATAAAAACTCCGCTTTATTGTAAGTATGTTGAAGTCTATAGACCAGTTGTCTGTAAAATTGGTATTGGTTGTTTATAATTTGGCATTCAATTTTCATAAAACAAAAATTAACTTATTACAAATCTTCAAAATCTATAACAACCAGTCCGAAGTTAACATTCCTGGTAACCCTCTTAATATTTTGGATACAGGAAGAGTTTTAGTAAAAATTTAAAGCAAACTGCAAATTGCGAATCTGGAACCGCGACATAATTTTTCATCTGTTTTGTTACATGTTTTTAAAAACTATTATATTTTCTTATTGGGCGCCACGAATCTCAAAATGTTATTTGAGAGGAAAAATTCGTAATATTCTTTTGTAAGAAATGATTCAGTAAATTATAGAAACATTTTTGTTTCTATTAAGAAAAATGGCGCCCAAATGTATGAAATTAAATCTTGTCAATGTTCCTGAGATGACGAGATGAATGCTTTAATATCTTAAGTGTAATGGCGCCCAATATTTTTATGTTTATTATTATTCCACTTCCTTCCCGAATTGTGGTATTTACATTAATTATAAAACTGATCTCTTTTCTCATCATCAACAAATTCCCTTGAATAATAACGGTGAAAATTATTTTTGGCAAATAATTTAAATGATTTACTCGTTATAGCAGACACCTTGTCTTGTACGCCTGTCAAGGTCAAAAGTACCCCTGCATTTTAATTGGGCTAAAAATTTTACCTCGATTAATGAAAATATTTGCATAAATTATCCCAAAACATTTCATGGAATCCAGTTACGAATATTCATGTGACCTACACGAACCAAAAGATAGATCTATGTGCAAATTGATTGTCTGCTAGTTTTCGTCAGCAGTCAGCCTTTATCAGCTTTTCATTCATGGCAGCATCTTTGATAAAAAAAGGAAAATATAACAACCTGTGCGCAGGACAAATGTTGTGGTGTTCTTGTTGTTGGCTCCTTGGGTCGTTAATATTCCAGACAAAAGCAAATGGAGAAGGAAAATGTGGAAGGCCAAAAGAAAAAAAATGAGTATAACAACGGAAAATATATGATGACGGTACGGTGGCTGGCTGGCTGCGTACCAAATATTAAATAGTGAAAATCGCCAAAGTAGAAGTGACGAACAACAGCAACAACAGTGCGACAACATCCCAACTAAAGATCATCCTTGGTAATTTTGTGGCCGCAGTTGAGGTTGGTTATTTCTAATTATTCATAATGTGTCCCGATTTTTTGCGTTATTTTCGGATGTTATAATTAATGCAGGGTCACCGGCTGACATTGAAGGCGACTCTTAAATGCCAAATGAATAATAATAAGTTTATTTAAATATATAGGTGAGAGATGAATTCACCGTCGAGTTATTTAACAACATGGTAATGTTGTTAAATACCCTGAAAGTAGTTGCATTAGCATTACTTCATTTTCCGGTAGAATTTTGTTAGGGCTAATTTCGCTTTTATTTAATATATTCCCAAAATACACAAACAGAATATTAGCTGCTCCGAACATCCATCCATCCTCACATTCGCCCCATAATTATATTGCTTTGCAGCTCTCAACATAATTTGCCTAATTTCTTGTCACTAATTTATGTCTGTATATGTGTCCTTTCTTTCTTTCTCTCTTTGTGTGTTGCTGTAGCGGAAGGTGCTTTTAAGAAACTGAAACCTGAACCAAGCACGGGCCTTTCATCCGTTTCCAGCGGTATAACATCACCAGGAAGTGGTTTGTCATCATTAAGTCACCATGCCGGCCATACTCCAACCACAGCATCATGTCCAACGCCAGCGAGACGAAGACATCGAACGACATTCACACAGGTCAGTATTTTGTTTGTGTTTTGTTGTTTGTTAATAAATAAACGATGTCACGTCGTAACGTCATTCTTAGATGGCTCCAGACACACGTGGACACGTATGAACTTTGAAGTCGTCACCTGACTTGTAAAGTGGTGGTGGTGGTGTAGGAACTTCCATCAACCATCAACCAAGATTCCCTAAATAACTGAGTGACACACACGTGTGCCTCAAAAGTTACAAGAGGTGATCACATGTATGAGAAGCTTTGTATGTGTGTATGTGTTTTTAAGGACACTTATCATGTAGGAGTAAATTATTTAAGAAATAGTTGAACTAGTTAAGTCTTTTGCGGAAATAAATCGTTTTATTCAATTAGTCGTAAAAAATAAGGGAAGCAATGGAGACGGTTTTGGCGGTCAGTTAAAATTAAAATTGTTTCAATTTGGATCGCTGATTCCTATTACGTAAATCAATTTTGAGAATATATCGCAGGGGTCCTCGTGACGTTTATCCTTACAAAGGTTACTTACCTCATTCTCCTATACAAACTTCAATCTGATAGATCCACATGTTATCTGAAGCCTCCTAGAGGGCTTCAGATTTACCTGTATGGCCTAAAACTTCCTTGTATTTCGGATGGTGAATGTATCAACATTGTGTCACACTTAGGACCTGGCGAACGTAGTATCTTAAAGATGATTCTCACAAAAGATGTTATTTCAAAATGTCCAGACACACCCATTGAGCAGACGTAGTATTTTTACCTTAACTTCTATTATTATAACTTTTTAAATTTATGGAGGATCTCAGCGGCAATTCGGAAGAACCAAACTATATATAGTGATATTTGATGACTCTGTTTCGATTATGGATCAGTACATTATTGATGTTTATCTCCGACACATACTTCATTCCATTGTCTTTCTAGCCCTGACAATGTTTTACGAGAATCTATCCAATCGATTTAATCGCCTAACCACCTAAGGTCCTTACGGGCGTAGTAAATTTATCTTGGATTCTCTTTTGCCAAAGAAGAGACTGTTTCCATATTTCTAGTCTACATATTCTACCACATTAAGACCTGGCGAAAGTAGTGGCTTTATTTCAACTTCTCTGATTCCAATAAGAAGAAGGAAGACAAAAGATCTAAATAGTGTTATTTGTGCGCCACATGAATTTTAAGTTGCCGAAATTCCTCTTGGGCGGCCAAAATATGACAAAATGCTTTAGCGGGATTTCCAAGAAATATATGACATTCAAATTACCGTCAGAATATATTCATGTACAATTATTTGTACAATAAAGTATAACAATTAAAAATAATGTCGCCCAATATATATATATATATTATGAATTATCTTCATAGTCGGATTATTTATAATTTAATATTCCTTCTAGGAAATTGTAAAACGTTTAAGAATAATGGCGCCCAACGTGTTAGTTTAACACTCCGTCGCTATTCGTTGTAGATTGATAGGGCTTTTTCTATAAAGCCTTCAAATAAATCATAATATTAGCTTGGAGAAAAAGAAATCCATTATTTTTATATGAAGAATGAAGAAAGCAAGAAAAATATGATAATCGCTTGGTGCCAAGTCCGGACTGTATGGCGGATACATTAAAACTTCCCAAACAAGCTCCCGAAGTTTCTGGCCAGTCACTTTAAATGTGTGTGGCCTAGCGTTGTCCTGGTGGAACAGGACACCTCTCCTGTTGGCCAATTCTGGCCGTTTCTGGTCAATTGCTGTCTTCAAACGGTCCAGTTTTTGACAGTAGTGATAGAATTTAGCTTTAGAAGCAACACATAATAAATAATCTACTTCCAGACCCACCAAATGCATAACAGAACCTTCCTGGCCGTAAGTCCTGGTTTGGCCACCGTTTGAGGTGTTTCACCGCTCTTTGACCATAATCGTATTCGAACATACGATAAGTATGTGATCCATTTCTCATCTCCGCATGTTATTTGAAGCTCCTAGAGTGTCACCATCCGTTTAAGCAATGGGTCTATCTCATTCCGTTTGGCCACGGCTTCGCAGATGGAAATTCGATCCATTCTTTTTTTTCTGTTAATTGGTGTGGCACCCAAACATCGAGCTTCGTTTGGAATCCAGGTTTGTGTAAATGGTTTAAAACAGTTTAATGGTCGATTTTTAGGTCCTGGGCGATGTTACGACTGCTAACATGCCGGTAAACTTCGAACATTTCTTCGATTTTATCGACATTTTCGACGATCGGCCTAATGGATTTCTAATATATTTATGCTAATATATTTATGCTTGTAAATAAAAATGGCGCCCAACTATTGAAATCTGTTGAAATCAATTATAACGAATGGCGCTCAATATCTCAAAAGTCGGCTTCTTTACATTTAAGAGGAAATAAGATGACAAATTATATCGAATATATAAATTTTATTATCTCCCACTATTCGCTGAGTTTATTCTGGATGGTAGTCCAAATTCAATCCCTTTTTAAATCGATTTATAGTCTCGAGGACCCATCCAATAGAACCTTCGAAATCCTGCACGGAATGTAATCATACTAATTCAAGGATGAGTATCCTTTCATGGTAAACAGAGTTAAAAACAATGACGCTCAATTATTGAAACACAAATGGGCCCAATATTTGCGTATGAGATAAAAATAAGGTAGAGTGCTCAAAATGTTAATAGCCAATTTCTTCCTCTATTCGTTGTGTTAAAATCTAAGCCCTATATCTATCAATGGAAACTCAATTGATAAAGCCTACAATTTCCCACATAGAACTTTATCAACCTAATTCAAAGGTCAGCCATTGTAATTAATTTTGGCATTCCTTTTATAACTCATCAATACATAAATTTCAGATCAGGATAAAATTGCGCTCAAATTTACGAAATCCTCTCGATGTCAAATGTCAATTCTAAAGCGTATACGTTAAATATAATCCAATGGTTTTGAGAACAGGATTAACGTGACGTGTACGCTATGGAATTGGCGTTTGAAATCGTAGGGATTTGGTAATCTAAACGCCCTCTAAAATTCTATGACGATCTAGCCGTGCCTGTCCGTCAGTCTGTTTTAATCACGATACATTTCAAGAGAATTATGAAAAGATGCTAAAATTTTGCATAATTTCTGAAATTCTATTGTTGGGTCAAGTTCGAAGGCATTCGAGGTATAGCCCCATACAACGGTTTCCCCAAATTTGCGGTCATTTCAAGATTTTTGGACGGGTTTGTGATATTTTGGCTCTCATTGGGTGAGAAATTATCACTGTCGGTCCATTTTAGGTATATCCCCCATTTAGGGTAATTTTTATATTTCTTCAGCAAATCTCCCTGTCAAACATTATCAGTATTGGTTTATGTTTTGGGGAAGTCTCGCTTCTTTTAATATTAAAACAGTTTACTTTATGTCTGTTGTAATGTGAAAAGGTACCAAAACTATATATAAGGAATTAAAAATTATTATAAATAATGGCGTCCAACGTGTAAATAGCAGAATTAATTGTTAACTCCCAATTTGCATGGAATTGTACATTCAGAGAAATATTCGTCAATATTACAAATTCTCTTTCTATCTTCCTATTTTAATTACAACAAATATTTAACTCTTTCTCTATCTCATCTCTATATTTTTTCTTTTTTTTGTGCATTTCAGGAACAATTAGCCGAATTAGAAGCAGCTTTTGCCAAATCACATTACCCTGACATCTATTGCCGAGAGGAATTAGCGAGAACGACAAAATTGAATGAGGCGAGAATACAAGTAAGTTGAAACAATTTTTAAAAACTTTGCTGCTGGATTTGAATTTTCCGAAAAACAAAAAAACAAACAAATGGTCACATTCAAACACAAAATATCAGTTTCCTTTGCTAATGATGGGTGAACTGTAAGCGATTAACAGGCAAGCCTTTTTTGTTTGTATCAAACAAGGCCAGAGGGGATAGGGGTGTTGCTCTAAAGTGCATTTGTCAACAATGGAAACTAAATACTTTCTTTTTTTTGGTATTCTAGATCAGCAAAAGCAACAACAACCAGAAAGAACAAAACAATACAAACAATTCCTAATCGACTTTGTATCAATCCCAGGGGTCGTAGTGCTGGTGGTGGTGATGGCAAAAAAATCCCCTTTGGTATTTCATTCACTTTACTTTTATTTTTTTGTCACGAGTACTGCAGTATCTTGTTGTGCTTTTTCTCTTCTATGCCCATTCCAATTCATGTTTTATAGTCAGTCGGAAGGGGGATGGGATGGTGGTGATGCGCAGGCTGTTCATGTTAAAAGTCCCTTTGCAGTCGGTAATTAATTTATAGTTTTATCTGAAATTCAAACATACTTTGGCGACAAATAAGCCAACTTTGTCATCACATACTTAATGTCGGATTAGAAACGAGCACTCAACACTAGGACAACAATAATAGCAACAACAACAACAACGCTGTTATCATCACGGCTAGAAATGTAATGGGATGGTTGCACTTTATTTCCTCGTTTTGTTTTTCTTGTGGGTGGTTTTTCTATCCTCTTTGCTGTAATGTCAAGGATTTGTGAGGAAAGATTGATGCTGTTGAGGATGATGGTTTTTGCTGGACTAGTTATTCGGTTGGCTTTTGCGGTGTACAATTACAGACAAAAATGACAAATGACAGTAATGAAGAGGAGATTTTAGTGTGTGTGTCGTGTTATACACAGTGGTTTAGTTGGCAATAAGATAAATACTAAATAGAATAAGAAATAGAGCAGAAACAAGGATCACTTTCTATAACTAAATGACGGGCATGAGAGGCAATGAGCTTTCCAAATATACGTAAACATGAAGGGCAGTGAGTTTTCTTCATATACGGACGGAAGGCGCAGAGAGTATTTTTAATGACTAGCGGAAGTGCGGGGAATCTTCTTGATAGATAACCTCATACTGGGGTTCCCTCCCCTAATAATCGAGCTTAAGGGAAGGGAGTTTGTATTAACAAGCTGAAACTAGAAATCCGCTTCAAGAACAGATTTTTAAGGATCTGGAAGGGCACCTTCACCTGATGCAGGAGAGAATGCTTATACCTTTCCTTCAACCAAATTTTTTTGAAAGTGTTATTGTCTTTTATTTTCCTTCTACGCAATCAAATAATATTTTTCAAGCCCCAATCATTATATTTATAATAAAATCCCTGATATAAATATGTAAAATGTGTATGAATCATGGCGCCCTACGTGTCAACTTTTAACTTTTCTACAATTCCTGGTAGATTTATGGATAAAAATTTATACAATTTTCCAATTGATTTGTAGACTCGAAAACTCTCCCAATAAAGTCATAGAATCCTGGCACGGAATCAATTCATGCTTATTAATTATAGTTAACAATAATGGATAATATCCGTGGTGTAAATATATATGAAACATGGCGCCCAACGTGCCAACTTTTCACTATCCTGTGATTCGTAGTAGATTGATAGATAAAAATTTATACACTTTAAACTTGCCCGATAAAGTCTTAGAATCCCCGCACGTAATTAATTCATGCTTATTCATTATAGTTAACAATAATGGCGCCCAATTGTTTTTACAATTAAAAAAAAATAAATTATAATCTCTTAATAATCATTTTCTTGGTACTTGACTGTGCCTATAGAAATATTAAACCCGTTACAGAATAATGGCGCCCAAAGTGTAATTTTTTTTATATATATGAACGGCTTTGTAGATGTTGTACTTTATAGATGTGTTGAAGGGCAGGAAGTCTGCTGAAACGCAGGGAGTCTTCTTTATAGACGAGCTGTATGGACGGAGAGTCTTTTTTTATAGACTAGCGAAAAGGCAGGGAAACTTCTCTATAGAGGACGTAATGTAGAACGGGGAAGCTTCTTTATTGAATATGTGATGCAGGGCAAGGGGTATTCTTTTTTGTCGAGCTGAAAGTTTTTATCATCGAGCCGAAGAATATAATCTTCTTCAGGCGCCTTTACAAGCTGTAGACGGGGACGTGAATCAGAGGTCATCCATCTAGTTAATAGATCCTTTAAGTTCAATAGAAAGCAAAAATGAACTACTGGAGCAAATTGAACTAGATGAGCGAAAGAACCGCATCTAGTATCGATCGTTCCTTTTACGGAATATTTTTTTTGAACTAGTTCCTTCGGGAACAATCCATCTTGTGAACCAACTGAATCCGACTGTCATTATGGACAAGCTGAACTCAAATTCTGGGAGTAGTTGAAGGACAAGAATTCTAAATAAACTGGGAAGTATTTTAAAATAGCAGCTGAAACTGGGAAGTATTTTAAAATAGGAGCTGATCGACAGGGATTTTGAGACAGGCTGCGGCTTTTAAGCGAGTTTATGCTCATGAATGAGCTGAAGAACTGGGGATCTCCTTTATAAAAAAGATTTACATGGAAAGTAAAATTAAGGGTGCCCTTATTGCCGAGTTGAATGGTGCCTTTATAGACGAACTTGAGCTCCCTTCTATATAGACAAGCTGAAGTTGAACAGAGATACTTCAAGGACGATGAAACTGCTTCAGGCACCTCCAGAGATTTGCTGTGAGTGATTTTTTTATAAAAAACATGGAACTGGGAAAATTAGAAAATATTTTATATAGGAGCTGAAGGACAGGAATTTTAAAGTATGGAGAGTTTTTTTTATAAAGAATCATCTAATAAGGGTGCTGATGGACATGGATTTTGTGGCAGGCAACGGTTTTTAGGCGAGTTTATGCTCATGAGTGAACTGAAGAACAGGATCTTCTTTATAAAAAATCTGAACATAGAGAGTCTCCATATATGGACTGAAGGCAGGGTGTCTTTATAAAAGAGCAGAAGGCAGGCAGTGTTTATTGACGAGATAATTGCGTCTTTATAGACGAATTTGAGTTCCCTTCTACATTGACAAGCTGAAGGGTTTTTTTTTGACAAATTGACTGTTTTTTGTATGCGAGGGTTTTAAATCATTATGAGCCGAATATAGGCTCTGAAGCAGTGAGTATTTTTTTATAGAAAATCTGGAGGAAAAATTATTCTGACCAATTGAGAAACTGAAGGACTTCTGAGTGCGAGGTTTAAGCTAATAACTGGAGAACAGAAAATCTTATTTATAAAAGAGTTGAAGCAGTGAGTATTTTTTTATAGAAAATCTGAATGTGGGAGTCTTTTATGAATGAGATAAAGGGCAGCCAATCTGTTATAGAGAAACTGAAGTGCTGGGATTCTAAGAAATGGAACTAGTTTAAGCTCATAGCTGGAGTAAGTCTTATTTATAACAAGCAATGAGATTTTTCAAGAAAATCTGAAAGACGGGGAGTTTTTATACAAGCTTAAAAACGGCAGTAACTTTGTACATCGCAGTTTGAAGTCAGGTAGACCATAAAAACGACGAGCTGCAAAAAGCATGGAAAAGTATATTTAGATTAGCTAGAACCAAGGTGTCTTTATCAACGCACCTAAACTCGAAATCTGAGCTACATCTGTCTGGTATCTTTACATATATGCTGACGCACTGACAGTCTTTATAAGCGAGAAGAATTATAATTTTTTTATAGGCAATCGAAAGCAGGGATTCGAAATTCCTTTATAATTTTTTTAATGTCTATATATGTTCACCCCTCTTAACCACAGTGCCGCGAAACATTTTCACAACTTGTTCAATTGATTTCAAAGTCTCCCCCTCCACTCCTTAAACCTCAATTTCTTACGGCAATTTTCCAAACAGATGTAGATTCATAGATTTTGACATTTGCAATTCCACACCCAAACCAAATGACATTCTCAGTAGAGCGTAAAAGCCACAATACGAGAGGCAAAAATAGAAAATTGCAATACAGTTCTCCGCATCCTTGAAGAAAAACTACCAAAACATCACACATCCATCCTCCCTTCACAAAAAACAACAAGAACATCAAATTAAAATGCAATCATCACTGTCGTAGAGGCCCAACTGGAATTGTTGTCAAATTACAGGGGTTGTCAGTTGTCATATGATTCCAAATCCCCTTGTACCTTATGTTGGAATATTTATCGCAAACACTCTATTAAGGACACATTTCGCTGTGTGTGTGTGCGCGCGCGATGTCTGATTTATTGAAATATTTGAACATTTGTTATCAAAAATATGTTTTATGCTCATTAAAGTGAATTTGAAACAGGGAAATTATTTTCAAATATTTCATAAATCGTATGGTTGTTGACAACCACCAGACAAAATAACCCGAATGATGACTTGTCAGCACGGTGTTACATTTACAAGTACAATGGAGGGGTGTTGATGCCAAAGGATTCATTCATTTAACCATTGGATATCAGATGTTTTTTGTCTGATCTCCGATTATGGTGTTGTGATAAGATTACTGGCATTTGTTGCTGCTATTGTTGTTTTTGTCTAATTAACCCTCATCAAGGAACCCGTTGTGGAATTATAGATGTAATAGCATAATCATGTAGTATTATTATTTTTTCAAATGATAAATATCACATGTTTACAATGTAAAGGTGTCTTCCAATTTGGGATAACAACAAGTGTATTTTCTGTTCGCACAAAATAAATTTTGAGTTCGGGTTCTACATGTAGAAAAAAGGTAAATTAAAAAAATGGAATATTTACGGGAACGGAGTCTGAAAAGACGAGCTGAATGGTGCCTCTGTAGACGAGTCAATGGGAGTTTCTATAGACTGATGGCAGGGTGTCTTTATGAAAGGACAGAAGGCAGGGAGTAATTATTGAGGAGTTGTAGGCAATCTTTATAGATGACCTGAATTGAGTCTTTGTAGGGGGATAG